GAGATATAGTTCCTACTTGTTGAGCGAAAGCTCAATCAGATATGTTCATGCTGTGGGTAAGAAACCTATCAGTAATTCTTGAAGGGCAATGGTGAGCTGCGGACGAATGGTGGAGATGGGAATGGATACCGCTCACGCAGTTATCTTCCATAGTAAGTTTAAGAAAAATCATGTATATGTCTATATGAATTCAAAGGTTTCAAGTATGTATGTTTAAAAAGTATACGTACATATGTATGTTAAGAAAACCAAGGTTGTAGCTAACAACTCTAGTTTTGAGTATTTAAGTTTTAGAACGTTGCAACAGTACATGCAACAAATAAATAAATTTTAAACATGACGATTTAAATGAGTAATTTTAGAAGGACTTTAAGATGTACTTGAATTTAAGATTTCTCACGAAATCCGTTTTAAAGTCAAATGAGATGACCGATTGAAATGACTAGTTTTAGAAAAGCTTTTAAAGAGTATTTGAAACAAGAGTTCAAATGCTATTCCGTTTGAAGGATATTCCTGAAAGGTTTTATCTTAACTAAAATTAAGAAAAGCTTTAAGAAATTTAGTGATTCACTTATTTGAAATTATTGTTACAAATTATGAAAGTATTCCTTCTTATATAAAAAAAAAAAAAAATGTTCCGCATATTTTAAGAAACCCCAGTAAGTACAAGTTAAAGTTTAAGTTACAGTGGCGGCCTCATAGGAGGGTCGTCACAAAAGGTGAGAAAGTGAGGCATGGTTTGTGGGTGTTCATAGAGGTGACTCAAGACAGAAGGCCGAACATGCGCTGTTTGGGTGAGGGGGAGTTGGAACCGACGAAGAGCAACACTGACGAGATCCGTGTTAGAACGTCATGGTTGGAGGTGTCAAGATCCAGATCTGGCAAAATCTGAGTGCGGAAGGTATGGTCGAAGGAAGCTAGATCCGGGGAATCTGAGGTGCGGTTGAAGAGTAAGCTACGTTCATTGCTTCAGGAGGTAGGATCGAGTAAAGGATGGAAATGGTTAAACGGTGGCTATAGCAAGTGTCCACCTTTTGTCGTGGTGTTATCTCCATTTTTATTGTTATTTTTTGTTTTGGTTGTAATAAAGGCGATATGTGCACACGTCGCCTTTGCATTATAATAACGGATTCCGGTAAGTTATTTACCCATGGTTTGGGTCGTTGATATCCTCTTTACGTGGAAGTTGCTCTCAGTTGAGTAGATTAATCCATTGATTGCTTGTGGCTGTGAAAGAGCTTTGATTATGCTCTGTTTTCCCTATTGAGTTTCAGTATCATTTTTCACCTTTGTACTATAGTGTCCTCACTGATGGATCAAGTCTTTTGTTAAAGATGAATCTCCTCAAGTCTTTTAGGTGCGGTTTGCTCTTTCCTAATTTTATTTTATTTTTTGTTATGTTTTATCTTATTTTACCAAGAGCTTTTTTATAGTTCATTCTTTTAGTAGCTTTCTATACATATAGTCTTACATCTAGCGTATATAAAAACATCTAAGTCGATTCAGTTCTTCTTTTTTTTTTTTTTTAAATTATTCTTTTTCACTTTTTATTCTTTTTTGTTTTTTTTAAAAAAATTTATTCTTTTTCTCTTTTTATTTTATTTTTTTGTTTTTCTTCTTTTCTCTTATCTATTGTCTTTTTTTCCCATAATATTCTTTGACAGTTTTTTTACAACATTCTTTTCTGAAATATTTTCTATTTCTTACTTTATTTTAATTAAAATAATTCTCTTCAAGTATGTTCTTACTTTTTTTTTTGGTCAAAAACTCTTATATAACATTAAAGCTTTTTTTTCAACTTTTCCTCTGTTTTTTTAAAACTTTTTTATTTTTTCTTCTTTTCTTTTATTTATTGATTTTTTTCCTAACATTCTTTGACCGTTATAATTTTTTTTTTTTTTTTTACAATATCCTTCTTTTGAATGCTTTCTTTTCCTCATTTTCTTTTAATTAAAATAATTCCTTTTAAATATCTCCATATTTAAGTTTTTTTCTTTTGATAAAAACTTATGTATAACCTTAAATGTTTTTCTAAAATATGTTTTCTCTTACTACAATTAATGAACTTAACTTCTAAGGATGCAGCGTTTGATGTGTGATCAAACTTATAAAATTATTCACCACATACATAGTATGTGACTCAATTAGTACATAATAATAAATAAATAAAAACTCTTCTTCTACCATGCTGCCACATGATAGTACCTCTCTCTTCCTTCCTTTTTCTATCTTCTTTATTTATTTAAAAAAATTATTTAGTCTCTTTTTCTCCTTTTTTATTTAATTTGTATTCTTAATATGTTTTGACAGTTCATTTTTTTACAATAACTTTCTTTGAAATATTTTTTTCCTCACTTTCTTTTAATTAAACAAACCCTTTCAAATATGTTTCTAAATAATTTTTTTAATAGAAAAACTCGTATGTAACTTTAATTCGTTTTCAAAGTATTTTTAAATACTTTTTTTTTTCTTCTTGCTCTAATTAATGAACTTGACTTCTAAAGAAAATACATGTTTTAATGTGAAATTAAACTTACAAAGTTATTCTTAATGTGGACTCTGTCCGCACAGAGTTTGAATTCTGCCGCTCACGCCGTTCATTGTCTTTCTTTAATTTTTTTTGTTGTAAAATTCTGTTTCTCTTTCTTTTTTTTTAACGAAAATTATATCAGTTGGTCCATATTTTAAGAGCATAAGAAAACATATTCTCTGTTTTTTTTTTTTAAATAAGTAATTGTATTCCAAATTAAAAAGATACAAACACTAATATTTTGTTTAACATCAAGCTTGTCAACATAGTAATTAGATTGTAATCTATTAATATATTTGGTTATACATTGATCTGGATCCAAAGTTGAAGAGATTTCCTTTATGTTATTTGATTAAGCGGATCCCCAATAGTGAAATTAACCTCTTTGAGACATTGTAACAAGAATAGCACAATAAAAGTAGTACAGCTAAATTTTCATGTAAAATCATGGATAGAAGAAAAGTTATGTTCTACAGCTTCTTCAAGATATTCTTCCTAGAAACGACAACACTTAACAAACGACACCATCCTATACAAACGACAGCATCATTTACAAACTACAGCATTCTTCAAATATATATATGTATAGAATGACACTACAAAGAACAAGAAGCTTTAACAGGAAACTCTTCACAAAAGGAAAAAGAATAATTACGAAAAGAACAGTTAATTCTTCAAGATATCCATAGAAGAAGCTTCCACAAAAGGAGTTTTGCAATCATTCATTCAAAGTTTGCATATTCTACACATTTATTTGCTTTCCAAACTCATCAAAACGACAATTAAAAAAAGAAAGAAATTAAAACTGAAATATGAATATCTACATAAGCTTGTAGAAGCAACTTCCATCAACAAGAAGGAAATGATATCCTTTTTCACACTGACACTTGAAGTGAATGTTTAGGTAGTTCCCATTTCTCTCCACACTAAGTGACTCCTCCAATTCTCTTTCAGTACCCTGCCAAAATTAACATCAATGAAAAACGACGTCAAAACAAAGTTTACTGCTTCCTTAAACGACCAAAACTTTTGAGTCAAATTCAAAATAAATAAACAAATAAATGAGAAATGAAAATTTTTTAGACTCGAAACAAACCGGACCTTAGCGGGGTTGATCTCTTTGTCGTTACTGTGATATGTTGTCGTTTCGACGACTCCATTTTCTTCCTCGGACCTTAGTGATTCAGTTTGGTCATCTGATTCATGTTCAACTCCCACGAACTCTTCCATCCACATGTTAATCACCTTCCAACAATTCCTTATCTTTGTCAGATTCTGCACCCCCCCCCAAAAAAAAAAAAAAAAACCAATTTATTAAAAAAATAAAGCAACGATATATTACATCATATTCTGATGAAAATAAGAAAAATCAAGAACAAACCGTGTAATAATCAACCAACAGAAAATGAGAAAGTACCAATGAAACTAAAGAAAATGAGATTCTATTTTTTTAAAAGGTAAATGAGATTATATTCAAGACAAAAGAATAATGTAACAATTATAACAAAAAGAGAAAGTAGCCCAGATGATGAGAGCATAAATTAAACCAAGAAAGTGGCATTAATTTCAGAGATTAACCGTTTTAACCATTTTTCATTTTGTGGAGCAAATAAGCAAAAATCAAGAACATGTAATGGCCAAGAAGACAATAATAATATGAATAAATAAAGTAGCCAGATCAGGAAACATAAATTATTTCAAGAAAGTGGCATCAATTTCAGAGATTAACCATTTTAACTGGTTTAATAATCAACCAGCAGAAGGATAAAGGAGAAGAAATACGCATTTTCTGCGCCCAAAAAAAAAAAAAAAAGAGCCATTTCCTTCTTCCAAAAAATAAAGCAACAATCTACCCATGTAATGGCGAAGAATGGTAATTAAAAAGATAAAGGAAAAAGAAAAAAAAAAGAAAGAAAGAAAGAATCCCAGATGAATGAACATAAATCAAATCAAGAAAGTAATTTTAATTGCAGAGATTGTAATATTGACCACTTTAATGAAGAAAGTAATTTCAATCAAACGAAAGAGAAGAAATGACGTTTGCTTACCTTTGAAATGTCAGTCTGGTCAAACACATTGGAGCTAGAGGTTCTCGAGAGCGATTTCTCCGGGGACGGAATCGGAATGGGAGCGGAGATGGATCGCCGGAGCGGCGGCGGCCGAGGAGGCAGAGCGGCGGCCGAGCGGGGGGTGGTGGAGTCCGAATTGGGCGTGGTCTTGGCCGACGGAGACGCATTCGACGAAATGCTCAAGCCCGAGCCGGAATCCGGAGCCAGAGAAGGAGGTCCGGAGATGGTGCAGCGGAGGAGAGGGTAAGCGGTGGTGGTGGTAGAGTCGTCAAGAATGAGCTTCTTGGGCTTGGGTTGTTGGGAGTCGGTGGACGTCGGCGATGGCCGTTTGAGGGGATTGCCGTTGCCGGCGCCGGCGCCGGAGAAGCCGCAGTTAGCACAGGGAGAGGAGTGGGGGTCGAGGCGGAGGACCGAGAAGTCCGGGGGCTCCGTGGAGTATTGCGGAGGAGATTCGAGAGGGTTTTGTTGAATCACGTCTTGTTTCTGAATGAGCTGTTGATCTGCCATTCTTGTCTGATTGCCTCAAAGTTTCTTTCTTTCTGTCTTTCTCTCTCTCTTTCTCTGGTTTTTCGTTTTCTTTGCCTCTCTCGCTTTCTCTCTCTAGAAAGTGTTTGTTTCTCTCTCTCTCTCTCTCTGTGTAAGTAAATAGTGAGCGAATGGGAAGGAGTGCTGAAGAGGGGGTTTATATAGAGCGGTGGAAGAGAAAGGAATGATCTTGGAATTCTTTATGGAATTGGAGATGGTATTGGAGGGAAAGCAAGGGAAAGTCTATGGTAGTGACTATGAGATGAGTATTGTCTATATGTACATTTATAAGCCGTTAGGTTAGTTTTTGTTGGATGCAAGTTTAATTATTGGAGAAAATTTAGTATATAACCATCTATTTTTGTTGTCTTTACATTTATGCCACTCAAATTTTTGTTTGTTATCTTCACATTTATGTCAATTAAATATAAGCTTGTGTCATTTATGATTAGTTTACAGGGATAACAACAAAGACTTTTTTTGGGAGGTTAATTTTGAGAAATGACTGCACCTTTTGAATCTGTTTTCTTTTCTTTTTTCATGGTCAATCACTTATTGATTGTTATCTATCACTGATTGCGGATTTACAATCTTTCAGTGATTAACAACCGATTTTGCCTTTTGGATTTTTTTTTTTTTTTTTGGTTCACGGTCTATTACTAACTGACTGTAGTCTGATTTCACCTTTTTTTTTTCCCTCATGATCTATCATTTATGTTATACTAACCTCACTTTCCGCCTCATTCTCACTTGAAATTGAAGCTAACATTGATTCAAACATTCAATCGTTTCATTTCATCAAGCATTGAAGCCTTGTTCATAATTCTGTTATTGGATGGGAAAAAACATGGGATATAGTACTACTATTAGTTGAACTTTTCGATTTTAGACAACTTCTTTAAAATTTTTAATTTTGAATATTTATCCTTTAAACTTTCTAAATTATTTTAATGTGTTTATTTTCTTAAATTGCCATTAAATTGAGGATTTGAATTCAAAACAAAAGGAAATAAGGCTTAAACTAGATTTAAAATTTTTGTTCTACATTTGATTTTTTGTCCTTGTATGAGACGCATGTGGACTTTCCCTCACTATACTAACGGCAAGCTAAGCAAAATGGGATGCATTACAATAATTTAGAATGCTTAGGGAATAAATTACTATAATTTCAAGTTTAAGGGAAAAGTGCCTCACCCTTGAGCCACCGACTTATAAGGACTGAAGTTGTCACGGCCTTAAAGGAGTGACCGTGATTATTAGAGTTTAATTTAAAGATTAATTTAATTAAACTGGGTAAATTAACGAAAAACTCCATGAAAATAAAAATAAAATATATAAATACAAAAATATATTGCTCCAAAATTTTTCTTTTATAAATATTATGAAAGCAGTCTATAAATTCAAACTTTACACAACTCTGGGACAATGCCGACTAATATAGTTTATATATGAATATACAGTACATCACAGAATTTAAAAATAAACTACAAATTCAAAGTAGCATGAACCATTTCTAAGCTGGAGCCTTCAGTCCAAAGACGTCATCTTACCACACAACAAGACATGCTGCTAACTCTAGAGGGGGAAAACCATTTAAAAACATGGGTGAGCTGGATGCTCAGTAGGAAGGTAACAGGGTACGATAACAAAATAAGAACATAGACGATAGTTACAATAACCAAAATATCGATTTAAAACCATAACACATGTAAGAGAAATCATCTCAAACCTGTGAATCTTAGTGGATACCATCAAATGCGGAATGAGGTCGATAATCAAGTATCTCAAAACTCCTTTAAAATGATATATCGTTCTCAAATTCATTTCAAAGTGACAGGACATCAATCACCCGTATAATCCACAAATACTGGGTATTTATATTTCTGTTTAAACACTAGAACACCCAAGAGCAAGAAAAATTACAAGAAACATAAAGATCATATGTTGATAGTTTGAAATACTCTTTCAAAGTACCGATACATCATCTAGTGTAAGTGCAAAGTCATTTCACCACCCACGTTGCGGAGTGACCCATACGGGTTTCGGGATCTGCCCCCAAGGATATGATCTCCATATCCCGATCTTTGTGGTCATCATGTTGAATAAACTATCTAAACGCTCACATGGATAGCGTTTACAAACTTACATATATCGTGCTCGAATTATTTCAATTCGAGACTTAATCTTTTTTCTAAAATTTACTTATGAGAACCATAATTACGAAAGTCAGGTTTTCGAAAGAATTTCTATATATATGATCTCTACACACACACACACACACATATATATATATATATATATTCGTATTCTTTTTCGAGAATCATTTAAAAATTTAAACATCGCAGAAACAAACTTTTCACTGAGAAAGAAAAATCCATAAAGTATGTCCAAAAAAAAAGGAGAGGAATGCAACCTCATGCTCAAATGAGATCAAAACTAAAGAAATATGATAAATTTTGGCTTAAAATTGAATTTTTAAATGATTGGGGATGAATTAGTTGTCATCGGTCGGCCGGTGACTGTGAAATTCAACACCACCGGTTGACTGGTGGAGTGTTGTCTGGTTCACCAGTGCAAGCGACCTGGGGCAGTTTTTCAAGTCATGAACAGCTCGCCGATTGGCGAGGAAAAATGCCAAAAACCTAGATTTTGGGTTTGATTTCAGAATGAACTCATGGAAGTCACTTTAACTGGTTTCCAAATACCAAAGTATGATTAGAAACCTAAAACCTACATGTAATTCACCATATTTCATCAAAACTTAAGTTCAAGACCATAAACCATCAAGAATTCAGTTTCTAGAACTCAACCCTCTAAAATTCAAAAATTTGAACCAAATTCAAAGAAATTCCATGATATCTAGACATGTTCTTCAATTTCCTTTCATCTATCCCAAATTTAATGTCTTTTACAAAAACACGTGCAAACCGTATTACGTGCCTCCAAAGGATGAAAAACTGATTTCTAATGAAAATAGACATCTAGGACTTTCCAACGAGCTATTACATGCCCTAATTTAAATTTTCTAAGCCTTTCAAACACATCTAACAAGAAATTGAAATTCTGAAATTTCAACCTTTCGAGGCGTTCGAAAAGTTTCTAAGTGAAACTTCAGCCACGCATAACTCGGCCTACAATATATCACTAATGATACGTACTAAAGGGTAGGCTAATTGCTTTAGGTGCAGCAATCACAGTTCTTTTAGTTAGGGTTCAAATTTACACTTTTTGCGTTATGCCAAAAATATAGTTTTGATGTTTTTGACGGAAACAATCACAAAACGTTCCAGGCATCACTCCAGTTTCTGAATAAAGTAGACACCTAGCGCTTTGAAACGAGCTATCTTATTTCCAAATCTGAGCTCTCTATGTACCTTAAAAATAGTTTTCAAGAAATCAAAATTTTCATTTTCTTGATTTTGACAGCTTTTGAGAAGTTCCTACATGAAACTTCCAACGCGCACAACTTGGGCTACGGGTATCGGATTAGGATGATTATCACGGCTACATGAAGCTTATAACGCATACTAAATGGTTTTAAACTCACTGTGAGTACATCAACTACAGTTTCAAATTTAGGTCTCTAGTTTATGAGTTTCTAATTTTTATTCAAGATGCAAACTTAACACATATTAGTAAAACGTGCACAACTTATTCCACAGTCATAAATCGATATCTCCAGCTCCTATGAGAACTAGACACACAGGCATTCGATTTGGTATACTACATGCAAGGTTCGAAACCGACAAGGCCCTCAAAAACACGTAGCATAAAATCAAAACGGCCTGTATTTATTGCATAATTTATAATATTCTAAGTTGCATTACTCAGGCTACGGGCATCCGTTTGGGGAAATATTTATGGCTTCATGAAGTTTACCACATGTATTAGGTGACTTTAAGGTGATGTTCATACTCATCATTTTAAAAAACATCCAAAATGATGTTCGTACTCATCACTAGAACTACTCGTTCTAATTCCTTCAATCCTTTAACATCTAAAGGTTTATAAGTTAACAACTCTTATGAAATTGACATGTCTATCTACGGTGGGCAAACCCAACATCTCACGCCCAAGGGGACTTTCCCAATTGCTAAAGAATTTCATTTAAAACCTCATTTCAAAATATAAATCAAGAACAAGAATGCCACACATATGGCTGGGAAGAAGACGAATGTGATGGTTCATCGGGATAAGCGTCCTTGAACCTATGAGCTAGGACTTGCTACGCTTTTGCTGTGAAGGTCACACCTGACAAGCGATGGGGAGGAACATCCATCTCATGGCTCAGCTAGTGACATCAAAACATCAGTTGAAGAGAAAACATCTTCATTGACGTGAAAAGCGGACTTATGACATTGGTACGGTATACTTCAATTGTCACAACCAATCAATCAATCAATGAGAAAGAAATGAATTCTAATCTTAATAAGATATGACCACTCGCCTTATTTGAGTCTCTACCAGTTTTAGAATTATAGAATGAATGCGAAAACACCTTGTCATCTAGGAATCTCAAATCCAATATATCATCCATTGCAACTAAAAGTCAATCAACAACACAAACTTTCAACCATTGGAATAGAGGCACCCAATTCTGAAGATGAACGAACACAAGGACCTCAATCATCGAGTTAAAATCTAAGAAGTTGATGATTTTTTTTCCAAACCAAACTTGACCCCAAGTCCAATAGATATAAAATTAAATAACGATTAGACCTTCAAAACCTGGCAAACTCAATAAAGATTTTCAAAATCAACATTGACTACAATGACACGTTTTCAGATTGACAAAGAAAATAAGTGGTCTAGAGTCAGTGTCTTACAGAAGTGAGTTAAACATAACACTAAACGCAGAAACAAAATGACAGAGTTCATAATAGTATTAATGTCTAGAGTCAGTGTCTTACAATGACACGTTTTCAGATTGACAAAGAAATCACCGGAACTAACATTTGAAATGAGAAAGAATTTTGATTTTTAAATGACAAGGGTTGTGACAGAAAGATGATACGAGTTGAAACACGAATAAAAAATAAAAGGACCAACTCCAGGTCAAAACAAATTAAGAACAAAACTCAAAATTTTGGATCCTGGAACTTGTGGGTGTTGAAAAATACGGCATCGAGTGCGCAGCGGAATTTTAAAAATTTAAATCAATACCAAAGCCAATCAAGAACATGTTTGTGATGCTATATAACATAAATACTAAAGATCTAAATCATACCTTTAGAGA